AACGCGTCCCTTTTTCCCCACGTGATATTCCAGTGGATCGCAAACGGAAGTCTCGCTCGGTTATTTATTCAAGAATCGCTTACACGATTTCGCACTCGGACCGTTAATTGCTCCCGTTTCCCCCATCCGCATACGCAAGCGTATTTTATACCCGTTTCGGTTACACCACGTATGGCGAGGATTGCTTCAACCCCCTGTTGAAACTTGCCCTCGAATAATCCCGATATTTCGGGGTGTCGTTAATCCTGATTATCGTTTCATTGTCCGCGCAAACGAATTGAATACGAGACCATCCTCGCCGACCTAATTGACCGAGTTGTGACACGCGTCGATCAAGTGGAATTGGTACGTCACGCGTCAGACGTGATCGGCTCGTTCGTTGATGTATATCACTCGACTGTTGTCGTTCCACGCCTCGATCACAGTTGGGATCACCTTCCCGTGTAAAAGGGAATTACGATTGTCGGATTTGGCCGTCCAATCAGCCAGTTGAGAGAGAGAGAGAGAGGATCGTTGCATCAGGATTTCAGTTGTCGTTACGTTGCTCTATGTAAGGAATTTTGATTAAAAGGAGTTCTCTTTTTTCTTTTCTTTTAACTATCCATTTGCGACGAATTAATTGTAATTCTAGGAAGGAAAAGTTGAAAGAGTGTATACGTATGTCTTTTTCTTTCTTTTTATTTTTTAATTATACGAGTTGAGTAGAAGTTGTCGTAGGAGAGAAAATTAAAAGCGTAAAGTTTGAATCATGAGAGTAGGTGAAAAAGTGCAGTAACGTATGAATGTTATGAAAGGTATTAAGCGAAACTGGGAATATTATCATAGCGTTAAAGGAAGGGGTTTCAAGGAAGGAAATTTAAATTGGATGGTGATTTTTAATTAATTGTAAATGAAAAATATTATTGCTCTAAATATCTACGCTGGAATTTCGAGCTTTACCACGATGTTGAAAGGGATGATGGACAAAAGTTGCACGATTCGGCGTGGTTTCAAGCAATATTACATCGCAACTCGAAGCGGTTTCAACTTCTTACGTATATCTCCACAACGTTCTGTCGTAAAGCTCGCAGTGTATGATCTCTTTCCATTACGTGACTTGATTTTTGTATATCGTTTCGATTCCTATTCAGAATCATGTTTTTAAGCGCTTGAAAGTAATATTATTAATCCATATAATATCCTCTCCACTTGTTGTGTACTGTTATAACATCATCCATCATGTTCACGCTTCGAACGGAATAAAATTTTACCCGAAAATCGAGCCTTGTCTCATATCTTTCAAATATTAATATCTTGCCCAAAAAATTGTTTTTCCAAGTATGAATTTTTTAAAAGTGAAACGTGACCAGAAACGAAACGAAATCTTTAAACTTTTTGAAATATAAAGCAAAAAGTGAAAAATCGTTCTCGAATTTATCCATTCAATTTTATTGAATTAAACACAAATGGTCAAGTTGTTAAATAACGAAGAGATCGTTCAATAGAATTTCCTTTCCAACTTCACAACTTGTTTTAAAAGACGTAATTGTTTACACTCGCCACTGTATCAAGATCGTACTCCTTAGAATATAAATAGATTCGTGTGCATGGAACAATAGAGACGTCCAATACTATCGCGAGTGATTCGCAAACATCCATCGTACTTGGTGGATGGAATAGCTGGCTCCTTGGTGAATAATTCGACAACCATTTCAACCAATATTGGTCGTACAAAATGATCCTTGATATTGTTGTAGGATAACATTGGATAACGTTATGAATTCACGAGGCAAGCTTGCAACACGATTGATATATTTGTAATTTTGTGCAGTTGTCTTGTTATTTTTTTAAAAAAGTAATCCAAATATTCGAATATTATTCCAAACATATTTCTCGATCTTCAAGTAACTCTGAACGATCATTAATGATTTTCAAGCTCAATCGAAATCTCGATATGATTCATTATCTTATCGTAATTGATGATCTTCTAATGACTTTAACGATTTTATCACGACTTCAATTAATCTATGTGAATTACAGAAGAAATATTATGAAAACTTTACGAAGATTGAATTTGTATAATTCATTACATTACATATTTCTATTTGTTAAGCACTGTAATTTTTGTGTAATAGTTGAAAGATGCAAATGAAGAAATCATACATGAAATTTGCATACGTTTAAAATTCCAGAATCTTTATATCTTTATATCTTGCTCGGGAGGATAAAGTCCCTTGACAATTTTTCATTCTTAAACAATGGAAAAAAATATAGGAATAAAAATAAAATATATCGTTCAATATCGCACAGACAAAGATATATTTCATTTAACCTCGCCATACGAAGAACATTTGTTCCCATGGCAACGTACTCTTCTTTAAATGCGTTTTTAACATAAGAAAGCAACACGTGGCAAGGAAGCCATTTTTCCTTCGTTTACGTTTAAGCTCTGAGGAAGCAAAATTTATGAGGATACTTGAGAAGAATAGATAGTATATTATTATTGAAGAATATGGTATTATAACATGGTAAATAAAAAAATACTTCGCTGTAAAATAATTTTTACCCTTATTCCGTTTTCTTCCTTGTAATGAAATTTACATTTTCTTCTGAACACGAATATGCTACGTAATACGATATATAAAATGTAATAGCTTATAATATCGCGTGGAATATCATTCCTTAAAATTAAAATAAGAAATAAATGTAAAAGATGTAAAGGGTTAAAAATAAAGACATAAAATTCTTATACATTACTGTTGTTATGTATTTACATTGTAAAATGTAACGTTAGTATTCGATTTTTACAAAATTTTTAAAGATGGAAATTAAAAGATTAACTAATTAACATTTTTAAAAAATAATCTCCATTTATAAATGTAAATTGTACAATGATATAAAGTGCTCTTCTGGAACATTGGAAAAAAAAAAAAAAACTTAAAAAAAATACATATACATTTATTATTCCTTTGCTCTTAAAAATTCGAAAATTCTTTAAGGGAGCAAAATTAAAAAAAATACTTCATTCGATATTTGTCAAAATTTCAATGAAGTTTTTATGTATATATTTTTCTCTCTCTTAAATCTAGAAAATAGAAACTACTTGAGAATTACGATGTACAGTTAATAACAATTTAATCAACAATTTAATCAAACTGAGACCAGAACAACACTTCCGGTATCATATATTCCATACAAATGATCATGAATTTATCATCACGCACAGCACTGCTAAATGGCACGTTTATTTTCCTCATTATGTGCAAATAAATTTCATTTCTAGCCATTTAACGTTATTTAATCCTTTCGCATCTATGAACTATCTGGTGTCTCATAGCGTAATGTCATGTTCATACACAAGATATGTTTTATTTTTCCTTTGAAACACAAAGATATCTCGTGCACAAATTTATTCATAATCCTCTTTGTTCCGACGAACAGATTAACGATAATAATAAACATAAAATATTTTTGTAAATCAACATTTAACAAAATTTTTTCTTCTCTTTTCAAAAAAAAATAACATCTCGTCAAAAATATCGAACGTAAGAAACTACGAGAGATCTGTCTGAGAAAACGAGTTCACGTTATGCTAATATTACATCTTCTTAAATATTTTTAATATTTTTTTTGGAAACAAAATAACAGCAAGTTCTACAGACAGATCGAAAATTAAAGATGCAAGATATCTGCTCGTATACACCGCAGCAAGGAAATTGCGATGCATAACGAAACTAAACTTACATCGCGCAAATAATATTCCTTCTCTTTGATAATTTTTCTTTCGCATGAAGCGATGGAGAGTCGTCGAAAATTAAAGATGCGAGATATGTCGTCGAATGATATGACAGAGGTAATAAAAAAAAAAAAAAAGACAGATTTTTCGAAAGAAATGCAAAATACAATCGATGTCTGTCGCAACGATTAACTTTTTACTCTCACATGAGACGCGATTAAGGTACTTGAAGTGCACTAAAAGAGAGAGAGAGAGAGAGAGAGAGAGAAGAGCACAACCGACACAGTGATTATTCCTACTCGCAATTAGACGAGATTCATAACCACCGACATAGTGTGCGTACGCGTGTATGCATCAGAACATTGGACGAGAGTTGGCTACAGGTGGTCCCGGGCAAATCAATATTGTTCGGGTGTATCTGTGAATACGTGAGTGGCCTGAATGCCCCTCGCAACACGCAGCCCCTGAAACCCATCCATGATCATGATATTGCACGTTCTAAGCACCTCGCCTTACATATATGTATCCATTGGTTCTGGATGGATATTGTGGGATTGGTGTAATTAGAAAATTTTAGAGGATGATTTCTGATGATTAAGCATTGTGCGAGGGAATTATGTAAATGGAAAGAAGAATTATATTTATGCACATTTAAGATTCAATGTTTTTGCGCTTTGTGGATAAAGCGTGAACTTATTGCTGGTATTATCATTTGAAGATAGAAAGAGTTTTATGGAGATATTAGAATGTGTAACTTAATTCAAATTTAGTTTGATATTGTTAATTAAATGATGAAAAGAGTTTTATATTATATTATATAAAAATCTAGGAGGTTAGATAGTGTTCTTTTCTCAAGTTCTTTTTTTACTATGAGCCTGAATTTTTATTTTTACATTTATATAAGTTAATATAAATATCATATGGACAATCTTTATAACTGTTGCATGATTAAAAATACTATTGATGGAGTTATTGATGAAAACTTGAAAATCTAATTATTAATTTAATGAATCTGTTTAAATATTTGTTTTGTCATGTTTTGTGGTATGTAAAATGAAATCAATTATCAGTACTTACTTTCTAATCAAAAATTAGAACTGTATAACTTCCATAACTATTATTATCAATGGATAATATATAATAAAAATACTGATACTAGTGAAACAATACTGTTTATGCTATTCACATTACCAACTTCATAAAAAGCTGTAAATAAATTCTTATATTCAAATCAGTTCACGTTTTAACCACACTGTAACAAATAATCTTACTGCAAAATTAAATACTCTATTTGTTATTGATATTTTCTTATATGAGTCTCTAAATAGAAAGAATAATAAGAATTTTAAATTAAATCATACATACGTACATTTTGATTAGAAAGATTTGGCACTGAAGTAAATTGAACACAAATTCGAGCAGAAACGGATAAAAGAGTCAGCGTGAAATTACATTAAAACCAAATGAACCCGATTCGAATATCACATTGATACATCACATGAGTTATCAGAGTCCTCGTCAATCTCTTCTTCGAGAAGATATTCCGGATAACCAAGTACGAGTACATCCTCTCGTGATAATTCCTGCAGATATGGATAGAATGATATCAGTTTGTATTGACTGATACATTCGACTACCCATTCGTGGACGATTGATACGGCATGAACCATTTTATACCATTCTATGAGAAAAAAAGAAAGAAAAAAAAAGAAAAACAAAAATTTTAAATCATTATTATAGAATATTATACTATTTGGAGAAATATTGAGCGATGAAGAGTAATATTATTTGATTTAATCTTTTTCAAAATTATTCAAATATATTGATAAGTAAAAATGAAAGATTTTTAACAAAAAATAATAATAAAATATTCAATGAAGGATTTAACTTGCTATATGACTTCATATAATTTGTAATTTATTTATTTAAAGAAAATTTTCCGAATGGATAAATCATGAAACAAATTATTAAATTTAAGAAAAATTGGTATCTAATATCTAATATAGCATAGAGCATAAAGCATAGAGCATAAAATCTTAATAATCGAGATGATCATTCCCAATATTTTTAAAGATAAGATGATCAAAATGTTTTAAAATGTCTTTCGATGATAATAGCCTAATTCATCTAATAATAGGCTAATATTTGTGAATGTTAATTAATTCAAGAATAGAAAGATTAACTAACAATTTTTAGTAATTTTCAATTTAACATGAAAATAATATTTTTAATCATTGAAACAATTCCTTGTTTATCCTCGTTTTTAATTGTAATTACGAACAATTTAAGAAGAATATAACTTACTTATAATTTCGTACTCGTACATGTCCGCCTGGATCATGATGATCCTCAACCGACTTTTTTCAGCGGCTAGAGCAGATAGAGACTGGACCACAATGGCACCAGTAGCGCGTAACATGTCCTGAAAAGAGAAGATATCTCTAAAACTTGGCTAGGATTCAAGTTGAAGTAATATAGCAAGATTGGATGGCGGAGACAACATAAATAAAAACGTTGTTTATCAGATCAGAGTTTCGCAAGTTGTTCAAAAGTAATAAGATAAAATTTGATCCAAAGGTGTTTTGCTTCCAACTGGAAGTAAAAATTTTATCTTACATTTTTTAATATTGCAATGTGAAGGATATACCAAGTAACTGGACTTTATAATCCAATTTTATCATTATGAATTAAAAGCAATCATGTTTGGATTAGATTTAAATTAGATTATCCAATTTTAGAATATTTAATTTTAATCTTTGATTGGTATTATTGTATATATTATCACAGACCTACACCAGTCACAGTTTAAGATATTCAATTTTAGAATTAAATTAATAGCATTCTATTTTTATTCTATATTTCACAAAATATAAGCTATGAACTCGAGTTAATAAAAATCCTCAAGTATATTACATTTACAATTTAAAATCCTCGTAAATCTGTCACGGTGTGAAAAGATCACTGTAAAATATCTTCCAAGAATCCACTTACCTGATACTGTTGCACAGAAACATTATCATAAGGTCCATTACAGAAAAACACGAACCCAGTGAACAGATCCTTCTCCCTGAGTCGTGACCTTCGAGGACCAGCCTCAAGAGTTCTGGAATCTACAACCTCGTACGGTTCCTCGTTCACCAATCTATTCTCCTTCAACGAATTGATCACCCAATCAAAGCTCACGATCCATTTCTTATGGGCTACTCCCTGCAGATATTTCAGAGTTTTGTTAGCGCTATTGTCCTTGTCCGTTTTCACTATCACGTGTGTCACCTCGTGATCGAATTGCATTCTGTATTTCGCGTTCACTTTTTGCGCCAACGTCTTCACTTGCTCTATGTCAGACGATACCAGACCGCTGCACACGAAACAGAGCTTCTGCGTGACGGTATTCCGAACAATTGTCCTCTGAGAGGAAATATTGTTCCTTTGAACGATTTCGTTTTGAACAATGCTTCTCTGATCAATGCCTCTTTGATCGTTGTTCCTTTGACTAGGATTCTGAACGTTAATTTCTTGATCACTGTTCCTCTGATCGTCGCTTCTTTGAATAGTGTTTTGAAAATCGCTTCTTTGGATATTGATCCTCTGCTCGATACTTCTTTGACTGATATTCTGAACTGATATACTTCTCTGAGTAGCACTTTTCTGACTACCAATTCTTTGAACAGTGTTCTTCGTCTGTTCGTTCATGACAGAAATTCGCTTTGCGATGCCAGATATGTTTTTAAATTGCTCCATTTTAGGGGTGCTTTGATGAAGTGGTTGGATATTGGTCGTTGAGCTTGGGGTGCTAGCCAGGTTGCTTCCGGTAGTCATGATCGATGATGGCGTTCTGACGTAGGCTGATTTTTCGACGGTCTTCGAGATCGATGACAAACTCTCCCTCGGCGAATTGATGATTGCTTCCAATCTAAAAAGTGGACGATGAAGAAAAGGATTTGTATGAAATAGTATTTCATAGAAAAATTTATTCGGTGAACATTGAGAATTTAAAATCGTTAAGACGTTTAATATCCTAATTACAGATCTCTGTAAAGGAAATTTGGAATTGTAGACAGTATATCTTCGAGTAATTAGAGAATTTTCGACGAGATTTGGT